TTCCGCTTTTGAAATGGATTCTTTAGGAAGCAAAGTCTATACAGAAATTGTTTATACGATCCCCAAAGCAAAAACAGCTCATACACATGTTTTTCAGAGTAGTTGAAGTTTTAATGTGTTATTGAATACAATCAGATTGGAACAAAAAACGGCAAAAAGTTAGATTTTGGATCCCATCACATCAGTATGCCAAAAACAAAAAGAATGAAAATCGATTATTTTCAAAGATAATCTAAATCACAAAATCAATTAAAGTTTTAGCAATATTAAATACCGATATTCATAAATCAGAATTGCACAAAGAAACCATTTTACTATTATTTTCAAAAAATTATTATTAATCGTGCCTGTACTACAACGATGTTTTGTTTTTTTTCAACTTTGCTACGAGAATACATATCTCGCATAGCTTAGTTTTGATTACCAAATCTTCCAAAGTCAATGACGTCTGATTAACTAATCTTGGCAGTAGCTGTGATTGTTTTAAAAGCTTTCAGTTGGTTAAACATTAATTAACAATCTGAGGATAACATAATGTAAGCATATATCTGGAAAAGAATGTTTGAAAGTTCCATAGGTGCTCAATATTGTTACTTTAAAGCTATATGATGTGTGCTGTAAACATATCATTTTCTTTGGCGTAAAATGGAGTGTCTTATTGTTTTCTTCAATGCCTAGTTTTGATTTTTTACCTTCATAGGTTGCATTTAATTTCACTTTTAAAAACAATACAGTCATCAAACACCTAGGATATTTTGTAACATAATATATTATCCAAAATATACTTTAAGTAGATTATCATTGTCAGCATAATATATTTGTATCTTAAACAAAAATTGATACATTTTCTAATAAAAACATATATTTCCGTGGCTTCTTTAATCAAAAAATGTTTGGAATAAATTTTTTTTTCTTTTTAAATAATATTATTACATAAAATGATACTCTAACCCAGTTCTTAATCTCGACAAACTCCTACAGGTGACTTTTGTTGTTCGTCGATTATTCCTTTAAATTAACACTCACTAACGCTTTGGGAAATACTAAAACACGTTTTCTGTTCTGTTTATCAATCATTTTACTAAATTAGTGTACAAATCTTTTCATGGAATTTTAAAAGAGAGAAGTCTAAAGAACAGTAGAAATATACGTCAGGTAAATTTCCATCCTGGTCTATTCGTAGGAGCCTGATATTTTTGCTGGTTGTTATGAGAAGTTATTATATACATTATGAACATAGTATAGGCACTAGTAGATTGTAAACTATTCTCGTTCAAATAAACAGAAAACATAATAAGGTTTGGATTACGTGCATTGTAAGAAAGTAATAGTCCTATAATTCATTTATATACTAAATCAATTGTTCCTAGCTGGTCAGCGGTAGTGAACAAATAGCACAATGTTGTTTTTTTGCTAAAACAGAATCAGTTATTGCAAATACTGCATTGAAAGACTTCACCTCCGCTATACTGATTCTTCATTTTGTTATATGTTTTACTGAACTGTTTGCAAACGCACCTGTAATTTTTGTTGAAGATGAATATTCAGTGAGATCTCTTTTCACATTCCCAATACGATTATAATTGTTTGTTAAATATTTCTTTGTATTATTCAAAATGGTTTCAGAAGATTTCGCCAAATTGAAGAGTGAGTTCCAGTCGTAGTGGAATAGTTTCCACTGGACCAGAAGATGCCAGACATGTTATATCATTGCAGTTTATAACAATAAATCAAATGTCAAAATTTCATATATTTAACGGATCATTTCTATATTTTATATTACAGATCTGACATAGCTAGCAAACAGAGCATTTGTTGCATATCTGCGATTATTAATTTTCGTAATTAGCTTAAAGACACTCCTTGGGACATTGCTTTACCATTTTCTAACTTTGTAATTTCTTGGAATGGTTTCCTCAGACTAAAGAAAATATCAATGTTTTTATTCTGCGTAATAAAATGTAACAGATTCTACAGCCAATGTAAAAAAGGAAATTTGGAGCTGCGCTGCCATCTATCATTAATGATTGTAAAAATGACATTAGGAAAACCAAAATGAAGATTTTAAAAAGTAATTAAGTATAATTATAGGAGAAAAACAATAAAAATTACGTTAGTTGAAAATTCAATACAACTTAATTTAACGTCACTTTTATATTAAGCTAGTAAAACATTTAGTATTTCTTTTCTTAGACAAATTTTGATAAATGACGTTTCCACTTAATTATCTAGCACTTTCTGTATGGGTATACTTTGTTGATAAAGGAAGACATAATAATAATGTTAACCAAAGTTTTAGTTTAGTAACATCTTCATAGCACTTTACCATAATGAAAACGTCAAGAAATACGTTGATATATTGTAAACTTTCTTCAGAGGTGTTAGAGTAAATGAAAGCTGATATTCCTTTCACAAAGTTACATTTTAGTTTTTTTAAGCATCTTAAATGGTATGAGTAGAAATTAACACTTTTTTATTTGCTTACTAAAAACTTCTCTTTCCTATCAACTGGTTAAATGAGAAAATATTATGTGATGCCAAAATATATGAGCTAAAATTGTTTATTTTGCTGTTAGACCTTACCTTGCCCCCAGTAGCTCAGAGATAAGTCTGTAAGCTTATAAGACTAAAAACCTGGGTTCGATACATATGGTGGGCATAGCACAGATAGTCCACTGTGTGACTTTGTGCTTAAAAACAAACAAATCATAGATCATAATTGTCTTTACCTAAAGCAACGCTATTATTTAAGAAGATTTAAAAAAGTATGTTTGATAAAATAGTGTTTTGTCACATACCATAATTAAAGAATTGAAATCAACTCTTTCATAAATCGATATACATAGGAATGGAGTAAAGATTAGAATCGTAATTACAGCCTATCTTCTAACATTTGTGTTTGACCAAAATATTTGGGAATTCCATTTTTAATAGGTGCATTTCAAGAAAAGATTGTATTGCCTATTTATTGAAATGTTAATTATGTGAAATTTACTCATAACATTGATAACAAAGAGAAGCAGAAAAACTGGGGCAAGTTAAGATATAGAAAACATATTTTCAGGATATTTTTTATTAAGTTTTTTCGGGCATTTATGTAAAGCTACACAATCTGCACTTATTGTGCCTCATTTTGAACTGATAGGCTAGAGGAAAAACAACTCGTCAACACCACCCACCGGCAATTCTTGGGCTTCTAGTCGAACAGTAGGGTTTCATCGTTACTCTTATAACGCATCCAAGGACCGTCGGATTCATAGTCTTCCATACTAAACTCTAGCCAATATTCGTTGTTTTTTTAAGTCTAATGACTTTTAACTTAAGCTAACTCGCATAGCTTAAAATCATTTCAAGTATTTAGTTTTGTAAATTCAGTCTGAAAATATTGTTACATCTGTCTAGTCTACGCTTTTCATCCCTTGTCACCGAAAGCTTAATATACATTTAACCTTTAAAATGATTATTACATTCGGAGACCTCAAAGTTTAAACAATTCAAAGCAAAAGCAAAGGAATTTGTAAAAGATACACTGTTGTGTTTTTTGTTTGTATATTATGTTATTAGAAAATTCCAAGCATGTTAAATATTCGAGAGTCACTTGTTTATTAAGCTCAATGTGTCAGTTTGTCTAAACGCATCTTGTACTATTTTTATACTGACAAGAGACTTCTATGTAAAGATTGCAGCAATTCATTTACAAGAAAGACACTGGAATGTAGTCCCACAACGAGTTTAGTTTATTCAAAGACCTAAGAGAGTTTTCTGTTTGTTTTGTTTTTGCCGATAATGGGAAGAAACAGATTTAGAGAACCGCCAGCTTATCATGCTGTTGACGAAAATCCAATAGATTTGTTCAACTAAATAATGACTGAAGATCTCAAACGAGTCTGTCTATAGAAATTGTATTTCTCAAGACTCTGAAGCAAACATTGTTAGAACACTAACAGGATATATTCGTTTCCATTTACATGGTTATCATATGGGATACTAGGAAACGGTCAGTTCTTGTCTGTGAGCTGAAACTGGTAATTGTTTTCTTGTGCGCTACTCTTACAGAAAGTCACTGAAACTAAAATGTGATATCCGTACAACATAACGAATATTTTCTAAATGATTTAGGCTTATGCATGAAACGCTATAAGTAAATCACATTTTCCGAAGATTTTTTTTTTTCTGATACGTAAAACAAAGATGTTCATTTATCTTATGCGTATTTTTATAATTATTTTGGAACATAAAATATTCGGTACGAAAATATTCATGTATTATTTATAAGAACTCTAATCATATAAAAAATATTTGACAGAAAGTCGTAATAAAACCTAGTATACTCTTTGTATATGTAATGTAAATGACGAAAAATGTTTCAAATGACACTACGCTTACAATTTTAAAGGATAGACATAATATCTATGAAAAACTATTGAGGGTTATTTACTCTCAGTCGAACTTTTCGAAACATGGCAAAAAATAGAAAACCAAAGACGGCCAGCCAGAAACACTTAATCCTTGTTTCTTTATTTGTTTGTAAATATTATCTAAAACATTACTGCAAACTATACTGATGTTTAAATATACCATGACTTTATTTTTTTAATATTTTAAATTTCTTTACTTGATTTGCATGTTCATGATTTTTGTGTTATTAAATAACAAGAATATGCAGAGTAAAGACAAGTCAAGGACAAAATAAGAATCACTCTCAAAGCTTCTAAATCGAAAATCAGTTGCGCAGAAAAAAAGCTAGGATTATAAAAAGTTTGCCTCCAAAAGATGTGACCATTAATTTAAATAAATATATAATAAATCGAGAATTATACATAAAAATAAACTTACAAGTATTGATTGAGAGACCGCGTATAAGCTGAATAGAAAATGGTATTGTTGGTTTTCATAAAAATACATTTGAATGGTTTTGTGTATTTTCATTTTCTTGGCCAGGTTTAGAACAAAGAGTGCACATTTGAAATAGTAATTCACAATTAACACTTTCGTTTTAGGCAACTCTTCAGTAAGGATGAACTTATGGGAAGTGGTGACCCTGGTGGTCTGGGCAGTTTTAATACCCTCCTGTGTTTGTGAACAGGAAACCTTAGATCTCAGCTCCACTGATGATGGTATGAATTCTCCAGTATTTATTCTCTCACAGGTTACTTTATTCAATAATGTTTAAGGGTTGCAGATCATATGATGACATATCCTATTTAAAGTTGTTTAAATTATAGCTGTTGAGTAAAACATAATAAAGGTTTTCACAGCATGTACTCTCAGAAACTTGTAATGAAGAATAAAGATATGTACTTTTCTGCATGATAAGTAAATGTTTTTTTATTCATTTGGATTTATTTTTGTTTCATTTTCTGTGTTAAGAGTTATATGAGTATATAAATGCCCCTTTAATTTAAAACTGAGACTTATTTCAAGATTTCAACGGTCTATCAAAGACTCTGGCGTAATTGCCAAAACATTCTTATAATTATATGTCCTGAAAGTTTGATGAACTCTTATGTTTCAATTCAGTTATTTTATTTGGTAATCATTTAATAAATAATAATAATAATTAATAACACAACTTAATTTTAAAATTATATAAAAAGTCAAATAGCAGTGTTCATCAAATATAGCTTTCTCACAATAAAACTCGCCGCTTTAACAACCATATTTCACATTAATTCTCCCCAATAATAAAGAAATGATATTTTTCTGAGTGCACCAAAATGTTGTGAATAAATAAAAAACTTTATTATGTACTTATAGCAAAAATTGTATGTCAGAAAGCCTGAGTTCGACTTCAACGATAAATTTTGTGTTTACTTGCAAACTCTGCATTATCATTATTATTATTTTTTTATTTTGTAAAAATTAAAACATTTAGTATTGTTCAGAACTAGAAAATCTGGTTGGTTTTATAATACAAATATTATTTTTATTTTGAGAAAATCATACATTTCGATCAAAGAAATAGTTATTATTGAACATTTAAATGTAAAAGGCAGATAACTTCTTATGGGAACAAAACACGTGTTTTAACTTTTATTAGGCTTCAATCAGTCTCTTCCACCGATAACTTTTGGGCTATTTTAATCGAATAGTTGAATTGGACCGTCACTCTTATAACGCACTCTTGATCCCAAAGTGAGGAGGGCGATTTTTTTGAGAAAATAAAACATGAACCATGGACCCTTAAGTCCACAATCAAGCACGTTAACCATTAAGATGAAACCAAAACGAGCTAAATATTTTTACGTACATGTACATTTACTGAGATTCAGACTTCAAAAATAATAAAAACAGAAAGAGAGTCAGCCACAAGGGAAACTTTTATTAGATCAGAAAACCCATCCAGTTACTTTTTTTTACGTATCCTGCAATCTTAGCTTTTCCAATATGAGGAAGAGGTGTTTGAGTTGTGTAAAAAATGATTTACACTTACTGAAGAAGATAACACCAGTAATCTTAGGACTGCTTTTGTCGAGTGTTATAAACGTTACAAAGTTTGCAACTAATTTATCCAATATTTAAGCCTTAATGCTCCCGTTTCGTTCTTAAAATAAATGTTTGTGAGTTATTGTTTGTGTGGAAAATTGCATTTTTTTTTTCATTTCAAGTATTACAGGTTAATATTCCCTAAACCAGTTATTTGAATGGCATTATTTTTTACATTCGTCTAATTTCCAAAAAGTAACTTTGTTAAAACTAATTTTCAGGTGAAATCAAATTCTGTATATTTACAAAGATAGATTTCGTATATTGTCTGTCATCAGATATACATAAATTTATAATTATTATTTGTGATTCTTGAACAGAGCATGGGTTTGTTCTGTGTTACATCACTGGATTTCGGAGCTGAAAAATCGGATTTGAATCTGTGCGATACCAGAAAATATTCCCCATACATTCACCGGAGGGTTCAGTGTAGCAATGTCTATTAATCCCTTAGTGTGTGATTGGTGGAAGATTGCTGCTGAATGCTTCCTTCCATCTGGTCAGTAGTTCAAAATTAGGGACATCGGCCATAAATATAAGTTTTATTAGTATTATCAATCGTAGCTGATTATACTTTCTAACTGTGTAACTAAAATAGGAATTTTGATGTTTTTGGCTTAGGCTTACACATGATAGGAAGAAAGAACAACTCAAATATAATTTCCTAGAAATCCAAATATTTGAAGTAAGTACATTTTGTATGGTCAACTAGATGTTACTTTATCGTTAAAATGTCTTGTTTTTTTAAACATTATTATAGGATATTTACCCAACATGCTTCTACTTCCTGGGATTATTTCAAGACATGCTGTTCTTCCGGTCGGTTTTTTCAGTTCGAAATGGGATTCGCCCTTCATAAAGGAACTTCTGCCCTTTTATCTTGCTAAACTTTTTCGCGATTTGGAAGAAAATAAAAGAAAAAACATTTATCATCAGAGATTGAAAAATCAAGCTAAGGACGGAGGAAAACGGGGAAACAGTATTCTTCACTTTGGAAAACGTCGTTCAACTGATAAAAAAGAACGATATAATAAACGTGATTATTTTCTACCATCCCGTAAACTTTATGTTACATTTAACGCTCTAAAGCATTTATTTGAGCATTCTAATGAACACGATCATAAAAGAGATGTAGTTCATAAAATGTTATATTATGTGAAACCATCCATAATGAGCCCTAAAGACAAAGATTTCACATATTCTATTCACAATTCACCTGAAAATATCCTGCATAGAAAGAACGAAGTTGAAGCTCTTTTGAGAAGTCTTATAAATAAAAATAAAAATGAAGGAAATAGCGGAATGTATTTTGATAAAAATTTGACTATAAAGAAGAGACCAGACCATCATATAATGTATCTTGGAAAAATACTTGATAATGAAAAGCGACTACATCATCACATAAAGTATTTTAGTAAAAGATCTAATAGCGCAAAAATACCTGAACATCAAATAACATACTCTGGGAAAAATCTTAATGAAGAAAATGGACAAGACCTTCATATGATATATCTTGGACAAAATACCAACATTGAAAAACGACCAGTTCACCGCATCATGTACTTCGGTAAACGATCTGTGGAAGAATTGCAGCCCGACCATTCAATAAGGGATTTTGGAAAAGATTCTAATGATGAAGAACGACCTACCCATCAAGTGATGTACTTTGGTAAAAGACCTATAGTCGGAAAACGACCTAACCATAACATGATCCATTTTGGTAAAAGATCTGAAGACGACAAACACCCAAACCATTACATGATGTACTTTGGAAAGCGCACTGATGACGAAGAACAACCCGACTATAAAATAATGTATTTGGAAAAAGAGCTTGATGAAAGAAACCAACTCGACCATCACATGACACACGTTGTTAAAAGATCTGGAAATGAAAAGAGAATGGCTCTGCAAAGAATGTACTATGGGAAGAAGTTTGATGACGAAAAGCAGCCTGATCACATATTGTACTTTGGTAAAAGATATTATAGTGAAAAACGACCGGACCACAATATGACGGACTTTGGTAAAATATCTGCAGAAGAAAAAAGATCCGACCACCACATAATGTACTTTGGCAAAAGATCTGAAGAAGCGAAACGACCGGACCACCACATGTTGTACTTTGGCAAAAGATCTGAAGAAGAAAAACGACCCGACCACCACATGATGTACTTTGGCAAAAGATCTGAAGAAGAAAAACGACCCGACCACCACATGATGTACTTTGGCAAAAGATCTGAAGAAGAAAAACGACCCGACCACCACATGATGTACTTTGGCAAAAGATCTGAAGAAGAAAAACGACCAGACCACCAAATGATGTACTTTGGTAAAAGATCTGAAGAAGAGACACGACCGGACCACCACATGATGTACTTTGGTAAATGGTCTGAAGAAGAGAAACGACCCGCCCACCACATGATGCACTTTGGCAAAAGATCTGAAAAAGAGAAACGACCAGACCACCACATGATGTACTTTGGTAAAAGGTCTGAAGAAAAGAAACGACCCGACCACCACATGATGTACTTTGGCAAAAGATCTGAAGAAGAGACACGACCGGACCACCACATGATGTACTTTGGCAAAAGATCTGAAGAAGATACACGACCGGACCACCACATGATGTACTTTGGCAAAAGATCTAAAGAAGATACACGACCGGACCACCACATGATGTACTTTGGCAAAAGATCTAAAGAAGATACACGACCGGACCACCACATGATGTACTTTGGACAAAAGATCTGAAGAAGATACACGACCGGACCACCAAATGATGTACTTTGGTAAAAGATCTGAAGAAGAGACACGACCCGACCACCACATGATGTACTTTGGTAAGCAACCTGATCACCACATGATGTACTTTGGTAAAAGATCTGAAGAAGAAGAAAAGCGACCTGACCATAAAGCAACACACTTTGAGAAAAAAACTGTCAATAAAGTAAATGATCGTTTAAGATCGTGGCCTGGAGATTTGGTTGGTAATAATTATGAAACAGGTGATCACAATATGATATACTTTGGGAAAAGAACACAAATTTATGACAACCAAGAAAACCCTGTGTCTTCCTTGCTTAATTTATACGGTTATACTACCAGTCCAATAAGTAAGAAATATGGTTTAAATTACTATGGTGCAACCAATCCTGTTCTTTCTTTCAGTTATAGCCAGGATCCTCTATTTCATGAGATGAATCAGCCCTCACTATTTCCTGGAAATGTGGCCGGAGAAGCAAAACAAGAAAGTGATGAAACTGTAATGATCCCACTAGTCATAAAATCAGTTCCAGGTGAAAAAACCGAAGAAAGTAAATCGTCTATGACAAATCATTTTGAAAGACGATCATTGAAAAACGAGGAAACAAAAGGTACTCATTCCATTAAAAATTACGATTCAGAAATGTTGTCTTCTAAACAGAAGAAAAGCTCTATTTATTCATCGAGATTCTCATTCAAGAATAAGATCAAGCCAAAACTTAACAGTAAAAACAGTCAGAAGTCAATGGGTCACAATAGAGTAAAAAGAAGCATATCAGCTTCTGATGAACCAGTAAGTGATGTCGCCGAAGACTTTGCACCATACTCAGGATATGAGATTATAGCTGATAACCAGGATGAAATTCCTGTTTCTAAAAGATGGTCCTTCGAAAACCCTGATTTATTCTCATTTCATTCAGTAGAAACACTGGAACCAGTTATAACTGAGCAATTCCAAAATCGATACCCGAGTTCACAATATTACTTTAGAGAAGACAGAGATACCAACAGAAAAGATGGAGAACGAAATGCCTTTTTACACTTTGGCTAAATTTGAAATTTTATCCTGACAAAAATATTATTCCAATATTCTTTGACATCAGTATGAACATAAATAATAATCTTTCAATAGTTGTTCTTTTAAATTTGAAATAAATGAAAGCATGCATTGAAAATACCTATTTCTAAGTTTCTGATTATTACGTATATCTGTTCATGTACAGAGTTGAGTAAATACGATAACTCAAGAATATTCGTAGTCCGCTTGTCAGCTGTTCTTGAACTGAATAAACATAATGTTAATAAGATGTGCTAAGTGCAATAAAAGAAAATTCACTTGAACGAAGTAAGCTGCATATTTTCAAAAACCAAACGAGCAAATTTATCTTACTTTTAATTCATTATATTACAGCTACCTGCAAGTTCCAAGAGTGACTACCCATTAGAGCAAGATTCTCTAAAAGTTATACTTACTTCGTAGAGTCGTCGAAAAACCTGAGAATGTCAGAAAAACACGTTGACTCATTAGACAGAAAAAATATTTTAAAAACATAAAGAGATAATTTAAACTAAATGTATATCTTTAAAACCTGAGAATGCATAATTAGAAAAATATAAACTTTCGTTTTATTTTCTGCGAATATAGCTATGAAGTATTTAAATATACACACGTATACTTTTCTCACATTATAAGTGATTTTATTGTATTTTATCAATATTTCACTCTGTAATGTCTTCTCTGTGGTGAACTTAACGCAAACAGCTTATTGTGTAGATATGAGATATCGAACAACAACAACAACTGTAATGTCTCCTGTAATGTCCTCTAGTTATTCTGCGTTGCTAGTAAGTAAGCCCATATATGTTCGAACGTTAGTTTGGGTTATTATGACGATATCCTTAACTTTATAACACGTTTGTCTTTTTTGTTTTTTCACTTAAGAGTTTTAAATGTTAACTGTATTTACGCATATAAGTTTAACTAATACTCAACAAAAGAAAAAATCAACAAGGTGTTGTATACTACAACATAGCTAAAAAATCTAAGTGTTAGATTCAGATGGAAAGTAAAAAAGCCCCAAACGCGCTTTTATATGGTTTGCTTAAAAGTATGATAATAAGAAACTCTTCACCAAGTCGACTTTAACTCATATAAATCTGGCTTGATGAAAGTTGATATTCTCGAAACTGTAGTTTTCAGATGGTCGTGAAACGGGAACAGTTATGATACATAGAACAACTTAGATATGTCCATGGTTGTGACATATTACTAGAGTTACACAGAATATAAATGGGCATCCAACTATGTTACTGTCGAACACAATAAAGATGTGTTTAAAACTAAAAACTACATCAGGAATACTTAAGGTTTTCAAATTAAGAATAAAGTTGTGTTTAAAACTAAAAACTACACCAGGAATACTTAAGGTTTTCAAATTAATAATAAAACTGTGTTTAAAACTAAAAACTACACCAGGAATACTTAAGGTTTTCAAATTAATAATAAAACTGTGTTTAAAACTAAAAACTACATCAGGAATACTTAAGGTTTTCAAATTAAGAATAAAGCTGTGTTTAAAACTAAAAACTACACCAGGAATACTTAAGGTTTTCAAATTAAGAATAAAGCTGTGTTTAAAACTAAAAACTACATCAGGAATACTTAAGGTTTTCAAATTAAGAGTAAAGCTGTGTTTAAAACTAAAAACTACACCAGGAATACTTAAGGTTTTCAAATTAATAATAAAACTGTGTTTAAAACTAAAAACTACACCAGGAATACTTGGGGTTTTCAAATTAAGGCTCCTTAATGAATATTGTTCTATAGACGTTTACATTTGTGCTTCAGGATACAGAACAAAGTTTGTAGTCCCTATGAACAACAATGTTTAGGATTAACTTATCTAAAAGTGTTTATATATATAACAACACGTTTTACACAAATTAGGTACAATTTTTCACAAAAGCATTTTATATCCATTCCAACGTTAATAGCCCATAATATTGTTTCGCCTAACTCATTAGAACACTTTAACCAAATACTTGTTAAACTGTTAAAAGTGAACAAAGACAGACATTCTCAGCTTTCGGGCTTTTGTGCTATAATAATTTCGACAAATGGAATTCTAGGAGGTGTTATTTTTACTGATTGTTCTACTTTGGTGCATCTTAATGTCTGGTAGGATAAAAAAACAAAAACATATTTCTATGTGTCATTTACTTTATTCTATTTCAGCTAATGAACTTTATATAAATAATCCACGAAATTATTTATCACAATCATCTAATATTTGCTTAGTCATTAAAATAAGTAAATTAAAAAATTAACATTACGTCTTTGCTTTCACTCCTAAAAATATATTTGTTCTTGTGTTAAGTTTGGATGCTTTTGTAAAAGCATATATTTATTTGTCTATTTTAGCTTCAAGCTACAAAATAGCCTATCGCGCATTGTCAGTCACAAGGAATTGAACCCCGAATTTTAGCTTTATAAGCCGGTAAACTTACCATTGACCCACATGTATCATTCTTAACATCAGAATTATTAATAGAACAACTGGAAATCATTATAATTTTATCTTTAAATGTATGTTTAAAATCTCAGCCTTCCAGAAGGCTCAGCAATAGACTCGATGTTTTATAACGCTAACATTCGTTCGATCCCTCCGGTGGGCACAACACGAATAGCGAATGGTGCAGAATTATGGTTATTGACAAATAAACAAAATCCCATAACCCTTTGTGAGAGCAAAGAAGTCTTATATATTATTATCTGATCAACATTCCTAGAATAAGGGCAATCAATGGGAAAGACGGTTAATTTAATTTCGATATAAGTGCCAATTAAGTAGGCATCTATTGAATTCTGAAATGTTTCAATAATGCTGTTGATACTTTAGCGTACTTTCTTCGGGTCTTTCATTTACTACCTTCTCAGATTCTTTTGACAATCACATTAATTTGAAAAGTGCTCAATATGAAAACTACACCAAACCAATGGAGTAGCAGACCGAAGGCTTTCGTCACAGAGTTGCCAATACTTAAAGCGTCACAAAGCAATAGAGAAGCGCTACAAAGATGAAATTGTTCAAACTAATGAAGCTCCACAAATATTCTAAACTTTAATACTTCGTGAAACTTCTTCCCATTTATTTGTTTGAAAACAAATGAAAGCGCTGTCTTGATGTTTATGAGATGATTGTAATTCTTCTAAAAATTATATAGGAAAACAATTTTTTTTTACCATCGGTATAAAAACCTTTAATAATGGGCTACTTTATAAATAGCACTGAGAATAAAGCTGTGATTCAAAAACTACTAAGAAACTTGGATATTCACAGCTTCAAAACACATGTAAAAATATGTCTCTAACTAGCCATATTAAATCATATATAAAGACTGTTCAGTCCGTTTTGTTTAATCAATTATATTCTAATTACTTTTACAAAATTCTGGAAGTACGAAAAACACGAGAAAAAATTTTAATTAGTTATTGTTTTCTGAATTCTACCCATACTCATTAAATAAACCAATTCATTTTTAACCATAAATAAAATATACAATTAAGAAATATTTTTTCATATTCTCTATTATAAAGAAGTTTCTCGTTTCAATATTTTATATTACTGTATATTTTGGTCATTATTATTAGTAGTAAAAATAATGCTATTATAATGACAGTTTTTTTTTATTCGGTCGTGTTTTATCTCATATAATAATATTTCCAAGTTCTATAACAAAAGTGAAGTGTGTCTGTGCATGGAATTAATGAATAATTGTTTCTTACGTGAGAATATTTATGCTAGACTTTTCACGAAAGATCTAAGTAAAATATAATTTCTAAGGAAAGACATTACTTACATATTTTCTCTGACAACCCTGTAAACCTGGTGAACTAAACATCATTGTCTTGCAGGTGAAATACTTGAGATATACGATCAGGTGCAACCTACTATAATATCACCAATTGCAACATGTTTTATATTCCACAAATAGCAGCTGGTAAACATTTACTATGTCAATAACTTTCTTTTAGTTTGCAGTCAACTTGATATTCCATAATATGAGTATGTAACATGCAAAGAAACATTTAAAGATGTATCATATTACCTATAACATAAATTATTTATGTTCATTAAATTTATAGATAAAAGTTTTGAAGTTATATATTTGTATATGAACATACGTAATTCGTTTTAGATTATGTGTTGCCTCTAGTACCAGGCTGTGCACTTGACAATTATTTACTTAACATCACTAATAATGAATACAACAGCATTCCTTAAAAATTCACTTCAAACACAATGTGAAGTAACAGTTAATGTACTTTATACAAAGATGAAATAAGTTGCATTATAAAAGGTTAGATAGAGTGTTAGAAAGCTTTCACTGATAAATTGGACAATTAACCATAAATAAAGATTTTGTCAGGAACTGACTTTTGTTGATAACTGATTTTTTCTAGTCTTTTATGGACACTTCATTACTGAATTTATTCAATTCAAGCCTGTTTTAACAAAGAAGCCTTTTGGAATTGGATAAACGCATTATTTGTATAATGTTTAAAATAAATTCCTTAAACAAGAAGGAACGAAAACATATTTTTTATGAAAATAAAAAGAATGAACTCATATGATTCATTGGAAAACTTTAATTCTAGATCCTTATAATTTATATTATTATTTTACTTTTTACTTATCCACCCCACACCCCCTCTCGAGGGCTTATAGCACTAACAAATCCGGTTTCGTTAATCTGGTGTGCAGAACACAGATAACCCATTGTGTAACAAAAAACAAATCCTTTTACTTGTTCAAAGTTATTTAGGTGTGTTTATAAAATGTTAACGGTTTTTTAAAACACTTAAGTAATCGGCATATGTGTTCATAAGTTTGATTCGTCTCTAGTGAGATAATAAAGCTTTTCTTACATAAACATCAAATTACAATATGCAACATAACGGTACCTTATACCCATGCCAGTCGAAACTACGCTGCCCTTAAACAAGACTTCACTGTGTGATATAATTTTTCACAAAAGTGTTATAATTTTGTCCGATACTGTTATGCATAT